CCACATAGACTCTGCATGTAAACTGGCTGCTCTGGCTGCTCAAAACGTGTTTGGTGGGAACCTGGCTTTAGAGATAGGCTGAGAAGCTCAGTCATCCAGGAGGGACTCAGAGTAGAGCCGCTGCTCCTCCACGTCCAGAGGAGCCAGTTGAGGTGGTTCATCTGGTTAGGATGCCTCCTGGACTCCTCCCTGGTGAGGTGTTCTGGACACGTCCCACTGGGAGGAGACCCAGAGGAAGACCCAGGACACACTGGAGGGACTATGTTTTTCAGCTGGTCTGGGAACGCCTTGGAGTTCCCCTGGAGGAGCTGGTCCAAGTGMCTGGAGAGAGGGAAGTCTGAGTCTCTCTGCTTAGGCTGCTGCCCCCAKGACACGACCCCAGACAAGAGGAAGAAAATGGATGGATGGACGGACACTTTATCTTGTACTTGACTTGTTTAACTGTTACAGTGATGAAGATAAAGTCAACATAGGCTACCAATAAGACCTTTAGTAGTAAAAGTCAAATAAAAGTGATAGTGCCCATGAAATACTGTAATTCCATAAACAGATTTCAAAAACAAACAAAAATATGTTATTTTCAGTTTTTTGTAGTTGATCACTGTATATTAATTTCAAAGAAACAATCATCAGAGATGAACCTGTCAAAAATAATTTCTAACAATTGTATCCCCTACTATACATCCAGTCAGTCCCTCATTCTGACAACATGCATGAGGTTGGTCTGATTCTTTAGTATGCTTAGGTCTCTTCTTAGATGAACAAGAACCCTAAACATTGTTTATCCTGCTGACTATTGGACATTTACCCTTTTTTAAAAATAAGACATTTTCAAAATATCCACAATGTTGTTATCATGAGCAAATGAATGAACCCAAGTCTGGATGGAGGTGATGAGTAAAAAACTCGATCTGAGGTGATCTGAGGTGATTCCAAACACAACATCCATTGGATGTTGTGTTTGGAATCATCTACTTTGTTTTAAGGTGGTAAAAAATTGTTTGTATTTATTTCTTTCTACACACTTTGCAGATTATTTTTTTCTGCACTCCACGTGTGTAATCTGTGCGCGCTCTGGTGGGGTGACAACCATCCCGTTTATGTTTTACCTTTTTTTTTTGAAAGACAGTCTGACTGTCAGCCTTTCCCACAGCGCTTCTCCACTGTACAAGGAGACATTAAAGGCTGCGTTTTACAGTCGTCCTTTGGAACGCACGCGAAGTGGGTGCAAACTGGGTGCGGAGTGCGTGTGCATTTGGCCGTGCGGCYTCGTGCTATGACTGCAGGAGAAACGAGTTCCAGACTCAGAGAGCTTTTCTGAATCCTGGAGCACTACTTCACCTGCACTGGCAGTTGCCTTGCTGCGTTATATCGCGCATTCCCAGTCTAAACTTTCCATTCTGCCTTGTGTAACAAAAAAAAAAGTCCAGGTCACATTCCTAGCTCTCTGGTCTTCAGATACTAACACCGGAACGTGGTCCTAGACACAGACAGAAAGAGAAAAAGAAAGAGACGAGGAGAGACACCTTAATCTCGTCTCCATGCTATGAATTCCTTTGCAGGAAAATTCAGCATTTGGCAATCAGTTTTGACTCTTGTGCCAACGAGCACATTTTTTTAATCTAGGGTCATGATACCTTCAATCTTGACCTGAAACAAACCAGCTTTGAAGCTCCGTTATTTTAAATTTTCTGATGAGTATTATTTTATTTTATTTTTGAAATAAAAACCCAAACAGATCTGGTTCTTTCCCTTGAAGGGAAGCAGATGTCTGGAGATGCTGTGAAGCAAAACTTGAAAGGTTTACTGAAGTAAGAGACCTGACCTGGCTCTCTGACTTGTCTGAGTGAAGTCTTCCTGCACGCTTAACCTTATGGTCGAAACACGCACAGATAAAAGCTGAATGTTTTGACAAAGTGTACCGGAGTTGGGCTGAGGCATTGGCAAAGATCCAGAGTGCACGTCCTGTTTTTTTCACACATTGGTAAGCTAAACAGTAGGGCTAATACTCTTCTTTCTTCCTTTTCCTTAATCTTAGACCTTGCCATATAAGTTTTATGTACCTGCAAACATCTGGTTTGTTTAAGACCTTAAACCTGAAGTTTTGCCATTCCTGTTAGAGTTGAAATATCGACATTAGGCCGTGCAGAGGCGTGCATAATTTTGTTGATGTTTTAACTCACCAAAATTTTGATTGTTCACATTAAGCTGTACCTTAGTAATTTATTTGATTTTGTAAATAAAAACCATTTATTTTAGAAAACTTAAGTTACTGGGTACGATACATTATTGTGGTCCCTCTCACAATTACACAGAGGGTGTTTACTCCTTTCACAGAAAGAACTCTTGATTTTCCTCATAKCTTTAGTTTTGAGAAGTTGTAGGTATGATCCCTACAATGTTTTTATGACCCCCACATGCAAAGTGTAAGCGGGAGTCATATTGTTTTCGTACTGTGTACTTTTTTTTTGTTCAGTGATTTTTGGTCAACTGTAGCACAAAAACAGCTGCACCAATCAACATGAAATTTGGCAGGYCTGTAGATGAGTTTGACCTACACTGCGCCAGCCAATGGTTTTACGATAGACCCCATATTTGAGGAGGGGGTTCCTTTCAAAGCGGGGCTATCTGGACAAACAAAAATGGTTATAGCTCAAAAACTAATAAACACAGAAGCTTCAGATTTTCTTTGGTTGTTTAGTTCTGATGAGGGGCTTTCCATCAGGTAAACCAATGCCCAAAATGACCCCCACCCAAGCTAGTAGCAAGACATTTATTAGGAATAAAGACTTCTGAGTTCTGGTGCATTTGTTCGTGCAGGCGTCATTATGTTACTGCTAGGTAGTATCTTGTTTTGGTTGTCTTAGCTGGTAGCCCACATTGTGATATGTTGTCTCATTTAGAGCACTGGTAATCCAGATTTAGTCATCTTGAAAACAGGAGATCTGAATCAGTGTGGCCCAATCTAATGTTGCTTTGTAAGACTGGCATTAAAGTAAGACATATTCATTTATCTTAAATAGCAAAAAATGGGATTTCTAAATTGGAATAAATTTGATCCAGATTAAATTTTTTGAACAACTGGCCCAAGAAACTTTGTCTGGGAGAAAGATTGGGAGCAGCTAGCACCAGACATGCATTCAGTTCTTGTGTCATAAAAGGGAAGAAAGACAAGCAGGTAACTGAATTCAAATACTTCAGAACAATAATTGATACCAAGTTGACCTTTCAGCCCAAAGCTAACTGTATGTATAAAAAATGCCAGGCAGCTTCTCTGTCATATTGTCCTGAATTTAATAGATAATTTAAGGGTTAAATAAAGTTTTTATTTCTCTAAATGAATCTTGTTCTGTTGAGCTGTCAAATTATTTGATCTGTTTTTTGATTTGAAGTGTGGTGGAATTAGTAGTGACAATGGGCGGCTATGGCAGAGTGGTTAGGGGAGTCGTCCTGTAACTGGAAAGTCACAAGTTTGATCCCCATTCCAGCTGTTTCAGTTGTTGTGTCCTTGGGCAAGACACTTCAACTGCCTTGCCTACTGATGGTGGTCAGAGGGTCCAGTGGCACTGGCGTATGGCAGCCTCACTTCTGTTGTAGTTGCAGAAATCATCCAGAAGTCACTTGATAGCCAGCTAATGAGGGAGTTTAGCATGATTCTCAGACAGTCAGAAGTCAAAAAGAACAAGAAACCCATGAAATGGGTCTCATGGATTTTGTACCTTCCTTTCTGTGTCATCTGACCAAACCATAGCCAAGATTCATGAGAGCTTCTCAAATACACACACATTAGGAAACATTTTTAGCAGGTCAAGCTGACCTCATGGCAACTCCTAACCTCCTTCCTAGCAACCTTTAGAAAATACTTTTCCTGTCCTCTGTGCAGGCCCAACTTCCTATGTTTTAAACAAACTCATAACTTGTAATYCACAATAATGACAGCAAACTATTGAACTCTTTCTCTTTACCACTGACTAGCCAACTTTTTGTTCTTTCRTAATCTTCTGGGACCAAATATGAAGTTGTTTTTCCCAGAGAGAATCTGGCAAAACTATCTGGACTAAAGAACTCGATGAACCGGACATATCACTGTCYGTGTGCCCCAGGGCAGCTGTGGCTACAACGTAGCTTACCGCCATGTGTGTGTGAATGGGTGAATGTAAGTGTAAAGCACTTTGGGATCCGGAGGGACTTGATATAGCACTGTATAAGTTCAGTCCATTTACCATTTACCATCAACACCTGGCAGACCTACCCATTATTCCCTTTAGAAAGTCTTTCAGATGTACAGTTAAGTTTCTAATACAAATTGAATGCATTTCACCTTTAAAAACTGACATTGAACCAGCAGTGACTTGTGTTTCCAGGTGATTCACTGGAACTCTCCGAAGAAGCTCAGAGTGAAAAACAAACATGTGGAGTTCTTCAGGAACCTCTACCTAACCTTTCTGGAGTACGATGGAAACCTGCTAAGACGGGAACTGTTTGGCTGTCCAAGCCAGGCCAATCCAGAAGTCATCTGGGTTAGACACACACAATCACACAGCAAATATATTTTTTTAGTTTTTTACTCTGTATGACCATGTGAAATGTTGTTAATAATTTAGGAGAGATTAAACCTTTAATGATAATTCTTTGATAATCACATTTAAATTATGTAATGTATAAAGA